ATGGAGTCGGTCCTGAGTCTAAGGGATGAAGAAGAAGTAGAAGAAAGTGATTCTGGGCTGGTGGCCCGTGTACGGGCTGGCCCCGATACTCAAAATACTTCGATATCGGTGGGAGTTGATACTGCTCCGTCCAGGCTTGATGAGGTCGAGGAGGAGACTTTGACAAAAGTTCCCGAGCTGAGAGGGACCGAGGATGTTTTTATCTTGGGGAAAAGAGACCGTCGAAGAAGCTGTGGATGCTGGTGTGCAAACCGAGCTTGAGGCTCCCCAAGACGGAGGCGGTGTCCAAAAATACCTACTCGGGGCAATAGAGATCGGGGATTCCCCCTCTTTCCCTTAATTTTCCCAATCGATGATACGTGGCGCTCAAGCTGTGGAGACTTGTCACGGGGAGGGAGCCCATGGAGAGGAGGACCCTTTCCGTGGTTATTTTATTGGGGTAGAAGATGTCACCGGTCCGAGTGACTTGGAGACTCTGAAGAAGAGCTCGAGCGAGGTGGGAGCGCCTTGACTTTTCAACGAAGCCCAACATGCCCTGAATCGGGTAAGTTCATACTTTCTTTGCCAATTTTCATACTTGTGTTTTTCTTTCCTTGTATAATCCCTTCTTTTTATTTTTTTAGGCTTTTGTGCTTCATTACGAAGCATTTTTCCAATCCCGAGGGGAACTGAGCTCGTATGAAGCTGAAGTTTGAAGGCTTACTGAGGAGAGAGATGCCTTAAAGCTTCTCAATGAGCAGAGAGAAGGAGAAGTAAAAGGACTTCGGCCTGAGCTAGAAGCATCTCGAAAAGAACAAGCTAAGCTTGCCGAGCAGGTAAAAAGAATCTTTGAATTTAATGATATTGACTTGGGAGTGATGGCTAATAGTTCGGTCCCGCAGGTCGAGCAAAAGTTCGATGTGATCAGGTAGCTTCGTGTTGAAGTGTATGTAGTGAAATCCGAGGCCGAGGAATGGAAGAAGAACATGGACCGCCTCGCCTCAGAAAAGGAGACTGCCCAAACTCAACTGGCTTCGGCTGAGGCCCAATTCCGAAGCTTGAAAGAGAAAGCCTTGGTGCAAGCCAAGAAAATAGTGGAGTTCCAGTCTCGGTTAAGCTCAGCAAATTCTGATCGAGAGAGACTGGCCACAGAACTTCTAGTGGCCAAATCGGAGGTCGAGAAAGCCATGGCCAATGTTGATGCAATGGTGGCCGTTTATCGATCTGATGCCGAAGCTGCTCAGGTTCGAGCAAAGGAGATTGCTGAGGTTGCTCAGGCTCAAGAAAACTAGGTTGCCGAGCATGCTAAATGCTAGTCTCGAAGGGAGACTCTCGAAGAGATCCATGCTCGTGGCTTCGATCTTATAGCCGAGATCGAGAAAGCTAAGGAGCTTGAAGCCAAAACCAGAATGTTGGTCTTTCCTGATGATGATGATACCGGTAGTACGAGCGGATCTGAAAGTGAAGGGGGCCTCGAGGTTGAAGATGCTGCTCCCGGAGAGGACTAAGTCCTTTAGTATTTTTTGTGTTTCTTATAAGATCGTTTTGGTCTTTTGTAGAGAAATTTGATCGGGCCATGCTGCCCTTGTAAATGATTTTTGACATGTATAAAAAAACTTTCTTCCTTTATGCTTTATAGAATTGTGAAGTTGTATTCTAAGGTCGGGGTTCAGATAATTTGATCAAAACCGAACTAGTGTAGCCCTAAGCCTTTTGATCGAGTGAGTGCTTGCTCGAACTCGGAGTAAAGTAACCCTTGGTTTTTTAGTTGAGTGAGGACGGTCTCTCACACTCAAAGAAGAAAATAGCCCTTAGGTTTTATGGTCGAGTGAGTGTTTGCTTGAACTCGAAGTAAAAAATAGCCCTTAGGCTTTATGGTCGAGTGAGTGTTTGCTTGAACTCGAAGTAAAAAATAGCCCTTAGGCTTTATGGTCGAGTGAGTGTTTGCTCGAACTTAGGGCTTTATGGTCGAGTGAGTGTTTGCTCGAACTCGAAGTAAAAAATAACACTTAGGCCTTATGGTCGAGTGAGTGCTTGCACGAATTCGAAGTAAAGTAACCCTTAGGTTTTTGTAAAAAGGATTGTTTATGGCCTTGTCCCCTTTCCGATTTGAAAGAGTTTCTTATCATTTGTATTTGTGAAACTTGTAATGCCTTAGCATGAAATAGGGACTTGTTCGAGAGTTCGATCAATTTTGTACTCATTAGAGTTTTCGAGGCTTGATATTATCGAAGCCTTTTATGATTTTGTCGAGGGGTAGCCTTGATGACCCTGTTTTGTTACGGAATTCGGATGTCTCCAATTCATGTTAATTTGGCCGTAGCCTCTTTAGTCTGGGATTTGAGTCTTGGGATTATTTTCTTGTTTTACTTCGAGCTTGCCCGAAGTATCAGTCCCCGAGTGGGGTGGCCTTGGACGATAAAAATCCTTCTTTACTTTGGGATTTACTTCTTGGGCTTATGATCTTCGGAGTTTATATAATTTGATCTCGTCGATTTTTCGAATGGCAGTCCCCGATTTATAGTGGTAATCATTCGAACTCCGGTCATGGTCGACCCTTAAGCCTGTTTGCATAACACAAATAGAAGAACCTTTCTGAGGTATGAGATATCAGTAAAGAAGGAATTTCTCTTTATAAGTCATTATACATGCGTACATGTTTTGAGCCAAGGCTCGAGCAAACTATGCGGGCATGGTTCGTTTTGACCATTTGGCCCTTACAAACTTTTCCTATCGAGACCCTGTTGCCATGAAGTAATTTCCGTGCATCGAACTTGATATATTCTAAGGCAATGCCCTCGAGTATTCGAGGTTGATTGTAAAGAGGCCTCGGATATTGTTGAATTATTCTAAGTTAGCATGATTAATGGTTGCCTCATTAAAAACCTCGCCGGAAAACCCATTTGGGACAAAATCGGTCCAAGGGAAAAAGAGTGCAACGCATGCTTTCAGATCTAAAGGCTTCGTGTTGAAGAATCCATCCTTGTTTCTGATCGAACACCTACAANAGATACTGTTGAATTATTCTAAGTTAGCACGATTAATGGTTGCCTCATTAAAAACCTCGCCGGAAAACCCATTTGGGACAAAATCGGTCCAAGGGAAAAAGAGTGCAACGCGTGCTTTCAGATCTAAAGGCTTCGTGTTGAAGAATC